ACGATCAATAACGCATTGCGACGATCAATAACACATTGCGACGACCAATGACGCATTGCGACGACCAATGACCAACTTCAGCAATTTATTTTAAAGGATGGACCCACAATGATATTGTTGTGCGCCTAGCAGGCTGCCCCTCACAGAAGCTCTGCAAAATTGTTTGGTTTAGTGAATACCATCGATTATTAAGCTGTTTTTGTGCCAATACTAGAATTTACAAACATAAATTGCGTTTTATGGAATGAAATATAGATTATACAAATGTAATAAATACAAATGTAAATCGCGTTTTGTGGACTGCAGAAACTTGAAAATCGGTGTGAATACTGGTATGTATTGTATTGTGAATCAACCATAACTTGTAGGGGGCGATTTCGTGACCAATCATAATGGTAACAAACACGCATAAGAATTTTGATCAAATTTTTTTTTTTTTTTTAAATAACTAATGTATGTAGATTTTTTTAAAACCAGTATATATTCGTGACTCAGTTGCTCTAAATTTTGATTTATCGAAATCTGGGTAAACTTTATACTATGTATAGTTGAGGTAACTGTAACTGATGACGCATAACAACCCCGGAAGGAATAAAAAGTGCCACAAATAAGAAAATACAAACGAAAAAATTAAAATATTTTGGTTTGTGTTGTCTCATTTCAAAAGCAGTGTTTAAATACTTCAAGTTGGCAAGAGTAATTTTAAATACAAAATATTTTTTTCATTTTCATCCGTCGCTATCAAATTGTTTTTATTTTTCTTGGCTTCATTGAATAACTTATTTCTCTGTTGATGACAATTCCGGGACAACACAAAATGATTTTATCTTAAATGTGTTTGGAAACGCAAATATCGCAAAATCTATAATCAACAGGAATTTACCTATACTAGACTATGATAAGACTTCTCTTTAGTGTTAAGTTATTAATATTTAAAAGCTAATTTTCTAACTTGATACTAGTTTTGATTGTAATGATTGTTTCAATTTATTATAAATGTTAAGAGTTTCTTTACATGAAATGCTTCATTTAGAACGATGTTTTCAATTGACTGAGTCGAATCAAATATTTGACTCCTTGTTTGTGAACGTAACAATCAATCCCAGTCTCGCTATAGATGGCCTTTATCTTCTTTGAATTTACCATTTGGAGTAACAAAACAAAATTGTTAAACTGTGATAATGTAACATCAGTTGCTAGCCTTTGTGATGTATTCCATTTATATTTTTTGTATTTTCAGATTCAGGTTTCATTACGTTTTTTTAATCGTAATTAGTCTCTTTTGAAATAATCACGCGCAGTTGTGTAGTATGTTTGTATCAGATGTATATCAATTTCGGAAATATACAGGCCAGGTTTACACGCTCCTAATGGTACACTACGCGTGGATGATTTAAGTGCTATGAGCTGTGCGAGAATTTTTTTGCCCAATGACAGACCACAGTGACCAACGTTTTACTGCCATGCCTTCACCTTTTATTGGAAGACGCCACCAACGACTGACTTAAACTAGTCGGGTGAGCCGCCATTTTGAATATTGTAAACAAGAAAGAACACGAACACACCCGGAGAAAACTTTGTTGTAAATTTGAAGTATCTAGGGTACTTTTTAAGAAAATCCGGCTTGATAGGTAAGTTGGTGGGTGTTGGAATTTTAACATATATCACTCAATAATCGGTAAAATGGGTATGAGACAGCACCGATTTGCCACAGTGATATGAAATGTTCATGCAAACTCCAAATCTTCCAAAATCTTGTAGTGTGTTGGCGGCGGCGGCGGTGTTGTCTGCAGATATTGCTGTGGTTCATAGCTCTATCATGTTTTCGTTTAGATCATAGAAGTAAAATGGTTACGTGCAGGTATCTGAAAGACTTTTATGTGCGACCAGCAAAAGAGGAAATCAAGTTGATTTGAAGGAGGAGTCAGTAATGTGCACATACATGGAGAGGGGGCGCTGGTGTAGGGTGCGTTGATAAACAAATTCAGGGTAGAATTTATTGAAAAATTTGTTTTTAGCTGCAAACAAGAGTATTCATTGATTAATCAATACAATCACAAGTTTTTAATTACATGTATGTGTGTAGTGTATTTTCTGCATCTTATTAAACTAAATACTGTTATCTTTGGGCCAAAAATAACACTTTTATATTATGAGATATTATATTGTTTCTCAAATGTTCGAAATTAACTGAAAATCATAAGACATGTGTGTGGTTTACGCTTACATCATTAATTTATTCTGCTGCTTCTTATTGCTTCTCTTGTGGAGGTTTCATTTTCACATGTTTAGCAGCTAGCAGCTTCTGTCAGTGCAAAAAAAAAACTGGGAAGTCATGCTTTATTATGTATTTGGTCTTTTAATAATAGTATATCATGCTATGATTTTTTTAAAACATAAATTCACTCTGGATCACCAGGCAGACTGCTTATAACATCTTTAGGCTTGACATAACCACAGTCAGCGTGAGGCAGACAGACTAATGTTGAACACTGTTCTTCTTCTCAAAATAAAACCCAAACCTAACTCCACACTAACCCACCATAACCTCAGTAAAATATGATTCTACAGGACTATTTTACATTGGTTTCTGATAAATTATAAATCTACATGAAACTCTCCTGGTTAGTCACAGTTACTTGCGTGTTGATAGTGTTGATATTAAAATCCACGATTAAAGGAGAATTATTCAAGTTTTATACATTCACTTATTTGTGAACGGAAATACTTTATGTGGCTAGTTTTTCATATTTACTGGCGTCACTTATTTAAGTACATGTATCAGTAAAAAATGTGAAAATTAAAACATAATGTAAATTACTATATTTTCATTTGGAATTTATTTACGCTATTTTCACTAAATGAATGAATCAGTGCAAATAAAATCCAGCAGAAATACATTTTTTCCTGTATTTTTCATCCAACTCATGCAAAATAACCAAAATGTCTTTTCAGTGAAAATTAATTATTATTATACAGTAGCGGATAGTAATAAGGGCCCTACATGTATGCAGTATTCTATTACAAAAACAAGTTATGAAACTGAACAAGTGGCATATCAACTGTGGTGTCTAGATTGAAGGTCACTACAATAAAATATTTTTGGCTCACTACAGTAGTGTGTTTGTCTTTGTCAATTCTTGTTCCACTGGGAGGATTGGAATGAGACATGGTACTATATCATGAACACCAGATCGGATTGAAGGAAACATGTGCATGTTAATTAGGTAGATTGTATAATAATTAATCAGTTTTAGCATTTTCATTGTGTGTGACTAAACTGTTTGCATATTAATTAGTGAATTTGCATATTAATTAAGTACTTTTCAGCATGTATACTACAATAATAATACAAAGTTTGGTCAAATGGATGAAAATTTAGTCAGTCTGAATCATTTTAGTGTGTTGAATAATATTACCGGTACTGATCGTCTGTCTATCATCCATGTCAACGTTTTACATTTAAAATCGCAAGTCTGATTGCTTTGATATTGGTTGGTTTTGGGTAAACCTCTCTTAGGTTTGTTAATTTTGAGATGATACATGTATTTTCAATTCTTGAATTTTGATGAATATTTGTGAGCATCCAATTGTTTTATTCTTTGTACTGTACACATACATGCCTCAAGTGAACTCATCTAAGATTTGTTCATTTCATGACTATATCCTCAATTTTTATGAATACCTTTATCATTTTTGGTAAAAAATATAACTTCTTGAAAACTGTCTATATAATTGTTTTATTTTGTTTATACCACAGGCAAACTTAACATCTTTTTTGTTACTGTATCTTCAATATGTTTGTCTTTAGTGAAAAAATGCTATTTTTGACTTCTTCTTACTACTATTCTGATTGTGATAATATTTTATATGTAGATGTAGGCTCCTCATGGACTTGAGGAAAATATATGTATATTTATACCATGGTTGCTATGATGTATTGGACTTATTGTGTTATATACCATACTTGAGTGGAGTTTAATCAAGTATACTATATCATAATTACATACAGCCATGGATAACCCTTCTGTAACCTTAGTCCATAACAGCTGGGTATAAACATATTTTCTTTTCTTTTTGCCTTGCAAAGTTCAAAGAAAATTATATAATTTTGGCAACAACACTCTTCCTATTCACAGGTGGTGCCATTAACATTTATTTCCTCAATTTCAACCTCCATCCCCAAGGATATAGAATAATTTATCCCTTGCCCATAAATTAAATTATATTTTCACCACATTGTATCATTTATAATACACAAGAATTTAAAACAATAAACTTCTTGTAAATAAACACAACAGTGAAGCTTCGACTGACAAGTCACTTGTTTATAAAATGATCTGCTTGTTTCTGTGGATTTCACTGGAGGTACATGTATCTGTACACACTACTGACTGTGGCCGAGATTAATTGAATAATGTGAAGTAATGATGATGGTTTTAACTCCATTCCAAACTAGTATTTGTGTGTTTGTTTTAACAGCGTGACATTTGACAAGATGACGCTAACAATAGAACAAGTGATGGCTGATGCCAAGAAGTTAGTGGACAGACTGAAAGAACATGACAGTGCTGCTGATACTCTAATTGCACAGTCAGAGACACTCAATAAAAGGGTAGACGCAATGAAACAGGTAAGTGTTATTGAACTACCGTATTAAATATCGTAAACCACATCAATTTGGCGAGTCCGTACAAATTTTAATATTTTGCATTTTTGAAAATGTCACAGCAGCTTTCATGAAATTTTATCCATTTTAAGATTGAATCGTCAAATTGTGAAAATTCCAATTAGCAAAATAAAACTTTTAAGTATTACACAAGGGTATAAAGCATGGATTTCATAGGATTCACTTGTATGCATGCTGTAATGTTATCAAGTGTGACACATCGATCACATGAGTTCTTTTTGCCAGACTGGATTGTTGAATTGGAATTTGACCAGATAGGTCAAATCTGTTATTTTAACCAATGAAGTTTCTATTTTGCACAGAAACAGTTCTCTGGGAATTCCCTAATATTAACAATGACATTTTTTAATTGAATGTGGAAATGAAATATCGATGTTAAAGTGCTATCTGTTGATATTGATTTCAAGGGAAAAAATGTCATAACTGCGGTTTGATGATTGCGTGAATCATATATTGATGTGCAAAACAGAACATAAATACTTAATAAACAGCCTCTAAAAAGACAGCTTTAAAAAGACAAACGTCCCAACCTGTCGCATGAATTCAATGATACTTGCATAATGTGTCAGCGTGACTCGCTTGGCCGAGCTCACATGTATTTAAATTCGGGCTTTGGCGTTCGAAAATCTGATACTTTGTTGACAATAACACGTGCAACGCGTGCACGTAGTCCAGATAAAATTTGAGTGCGTAAAACGTAATTTGACCTTGCTCTAGGTCAACATTTTTCCATTGCTTTTCGACCTCATTTTGTGATTTTGTTTATGGAATTGACCCAACATATTTACACACCCCCTCCAACAATCCCCAATGTAACTTTATTATAACAAAACAGAGTGTGCAAGTGTGCCGGTATATCTTTTTTTGGAACATGTGATTGGCCCTGAAAAGGGTCGTTTGTTTTGGAGCAGAATACGATTTAGACTGGAAAGGTCGGGACAAAAAAAATATAATTACAGCCAATACAAAGTCAGCTTAGACATTCAGTTGTGAGACATAACAAAATAAATGGTGCCAGCGATAGATTTTGCGAATGAAAGAACAAAATAAACGCAATCAAAGGCGCCGACCACACGCGTTGAAAATAAACTAATAGAACGCGTTGTGATGAGAAATCTCGCCTGCATCTATCATTCACGCAAACGCACACACATGCTATTTTCGTATGTTGAATACGTTGGCAACGTCGTCAAATATTTAGCCCAATCACTGAATAAAAAAACATTCAAGCACACGTGCACTGGCGCCAGATGAAGTGAAAAAAATGAAAACAAAATTACGTCTGCACTGTGCATTTGTAACAATAACCAAAACCATTAGGTTACATGCCAAAACTACCGACTCAGGATTCATCATACACAAATATAGCCACTTTCATGGAACTGTTCGTTTTTGTAATCCACTTTGTCGGCTCAGTTGATTTGAGTGCACTGACCCAAATTTTAAAATAAAAATATTGTATAAAATAAAGACACAGTTCCGTCTGTAGTCAATATATCCATCATTTGATTGTTCCAAAGTTGCGTTGACAACAACGGGATGCCTTGGTGAAGCTCTCATTTTCACCATGGACGTACTGGGAGCTCCATGGTCTCACAAAAATCACGTGTAGCATTATG